AGCGTCCCCTGCTTGCGTGGGTTCATTCGGCTCACTAAAGGCTCGTGCTTCGATACTCGCCATGGCTTGAGGCTCGCGCATGTTATCATAGATATCATGCAGATCAGTGTCATCCAGGTTCTCGTTCTTAACGGCCTGCGTAAGTGGCGCGCTGTTACGCCTCTGCTGACGAGGCGTTTCCACGGGATCCGTGTCATGGAAGATACTTGTCCGGGGCTGACGAGGAGTCTTGATCCCATGGGGCGCAGGGTCGTCCAAATCCATCGTCTCATTCCGAGTCATGTTGAAAGCAGGAAGCGGAGGACTACTGTGAGGCTCTTCCTTCACGCGATGGGGCTTTATTGGTGTGCCATCGGAGGAGTGATCGGCGTATATCTCGAATCTGGACTTTGACGGCTGGCCTCGTTTTCGTTTTAGCGACCTCTCGGAAACGAACTCGGGGAAATCGTCATCATCTTCAGCTTCCGTCGCTTGTTCGAATATGCTCCTCGGCTCGACCTGCTCATCCACTGTCGTTTGACTGGAGCTTGGAATCGCTGAACGATGGCCTTCGTCCTCTGAGATTATCCGCTGCACGTGCGAAGAGACACCGCCATTGTGTTCTTGATGCTGTTGTAGCTGAGGGATCCCTGAGCGAGTGCTGGCCTTTGGAGTGACAGTTGTGGTGGGGCTCCGAGCTTCCTCGCCGCTGACCGTGGTCGGAGACGCCAAGCGACTCGTCATTCCAAGAACTGCACGCGGAAGCGGGGCCATAGGAGCAGGGGAGGAGCGGTCTGGATTAGCGATGGATCTGGGGGTTCGCACGGTGGCCAATGAAACTGGACTGGAAGGTAGATGAGGCCGTTCCTCGGGGAGAAGGTGAGCTGTCGCCATATGTGACTTATCGGCCCCGTCTCTGGCCTCGCTCTTCGACTTTTGTTTCACTGCTTGCCGATCTGCGTACTCTTGCCATGCGCGCACGCTCTCTTTCATATCCCTGTTCTTTTGCATGACGTTCGCATTTTTCTTCTGGAGATATTTCACTTGTTGAGACGTGTCCCGATACTTCTTAGTCAAGTCGCTAAACCGGGCAGCAAGGTCGTGATACTCTTCTTCGGTAGCCTCGTTTGCAACCCCGTGATCTGGTAATGGTGCAGCGGCCTCTTGTAGAGCCGCGAGTCGTTGCTTCAACTGCTCATTCTCGGTAGCGAGGTGGCGATAATCGCCGGACGTACTTGGTGCATCGAGTGCAGAGACATGCTGGTCGACTGACCCCCTAGTTTCGAGCTGTTCTTTCAGGTGCTCGTTCTCTTTGGCAAGACGCGCTGATTTCAGAATCTCGTCATTCAGGTGTTGGAACAGTATTTGTTGGTTCTCCTCCTCTGCAGCAGGTTAGTGTGTAACTCAATGAATAAGACAAAATGCGTACTTTGATCTAGCTCCTTCTGATGTTTCTCTTCTCCTGATTCATTCTTAGCAAAGGTCGACGCGTTAACTGACCGTACGTACTCGTCTTCCATTCCTTCTCGAGGTCAGGCTTGATGACCTCATCGTATACACGCGTCCAGAGCCCTTTGTTCTGCTCTACCCAGGCTGAAAACTCCGCCATATTGGACCAGTCCGACAAGGCATGAAAACGACAGGTGTGACAAGAGATGACTCGATGTTCGCGTGTGTCCTGAATTGGTTGCAGCATTAGGCGGCAACTGCGAAAGATACGCGCTAGTGGAGCGCGCAGTCACGCGTACGCACAGACACTCTGCGATAGCGATAAGACATGGTGCCAATCCGGCATCCCGAGGCGCATTCGCCGCCGACACGACAGCCGTAGCCAGGTATTATGAAGCGCGCATACGATGGCGATGATGACGGCGAGCATCCAGCCAAGGTACAGCGGCTTTTACATCCCGACAAACTATCTCGACTGAGCGAGGAGTTGCTTGTGCGCATACTGTCTTTCGTGCCCGTACCCTCGCTACTGGTATGCCAAAGGTAGGTAACGTCATCTCCGTTGAATCGCGATATCCGCTAACTGTTACAGGGTGTCGAAGAAGTTCAGTCGCCTTTCGGTCGATTCGGAATTGTGGAAAGCCGCTTACTACCGCACATTCGTCCTCCCTCGAGCGTCGCGCATACCAGGCATCAGAGGCCCTGCCAACCCGAATCGGCTACACTACTCCTCGCGGCTATCGAAATGGCTAGAAGACGGCTACTTAGTCAAAGACGGAACACAAACGAACTGGAAGCAGCAATATCGGTTGCGGCATAACTGGACCCAGGGACAATGCGCCGTCAGTGAGATCGTGGTCGCTGAAAGGCCTCCAGACCCACCGCTACTCGTCATGATGTCTAACAGCATCATCTATGCTGCCGACTCCATGTCAGGCCTACGAGCGTGGAACTCGAAGAATGATAGGGAGCTACTGGCATCCACGGAACTATCTGTTGAAACAGATGTAGCTCGGCTACCGATATCCATGGCCATAGATGTCTCGAATACGGACGATGGCACGGAGCGAGTTGTCATAGGCTTTGAAGACGGCTCGTTCTCCGTTTACGCACTTAGGACGGATCGCAAGAAGTTCACGAATGTCTTCACCCATCCGCCATCAACAAACGGAATGCTGTCGGCTCTCGCATACTCATCGCCTTATCTCCTCACCATGACCGAAGACCACCTCCTCTCATTATACGCTTTTGAAGAGGTGCCTGGCACGTTCGGGTTATTAGAAGCACCGAAGCTGCTATACTCCCTACGATCGAACACTGCATGGCCACCTGTCTCGTTATCGCTGCGCACAACAGCACATACCATGACCGCCGCGATCGCATACTCCCTGCCGACGTACCTATCCGGCTGGACTGTTGGTGTGCAGGAGCTCATACTCTCACACAAAGGCGACCTAATCGAGTCACGGTTGGCTACTGCGGCGGATGAACACTCGTTCACGCTCTCTACGTACCGCGCGGCCTCTTCATCAGCACGCTCGTTGTCACCTTTACCAGATCGCGCCGATGAAGCCCTAGCACCGAGCGGGCCGAGCAGATCGAAACCTACCTCCATGTCGTACTCCCATCCGTATCTTCTCGTCGCGCATCCCGATAACACACTATCGCTCTACCTCGTTCGATCGACATCACAAGCATTGTCCATCAGCTCTGGCAACCGCCTCTGGGGTCACACGTCTTCGATATCCGGCGCCCATGTCGGCATGCGTGGCAAGGCTGTGTCCGTGAGCAGACGAGGGGACGAGCTACGGGTATGGGATCTAGAGGGCGGCATGAACTCCTCTGCGAACCGCAAGCGCTCAAGAAACGGACAATTAAGCGTTCGCGTACAGCCATCCAAAGCCAGTGAAGAGTACACCCAGGACGACGACGCGGGGCAGCAGGTGGGCTTACGGTTTGCGCTTGACCAAGGCTTTGACGACTCTTCCGTCAGTCGTGGTTGGGTCGGCTTCGACGAACAGAACGTCATAGTGCTCAGAGAGAAGAGCGAGGGCAGTCAGGCGTTGGTTGTCTACGATTTTACATGACCTCTCAAGGGCTCCGAGGCGTCAGCATCTGTTAACAAATATACCCCGATAGAGCGTTTTCCGCGGTTGCAAACATCAGCTCGACCCTCTCGAGACCACGGTGACTGAACTGCCACGCGCGCAGCAACTTCTCTCCCCTTCTCATATAAGTCTGCCTCTCAAAATGTAGAGGACATCTCTTTGACCGCACTTTCTCACGATCGCACACTCCCAGTAGCTGGCATTGAAGAGGTAACACGAGCATATTGCCACTAGCTAAGAAACTAACATCAGTCAAAACACAAAAACACAAAACACTAAACCACCGGCGGGTCCCCAAGTTATGGGTCGGCGATGTACCACACCCTCACATTAATACCGACCAAGCGAATGCGGAACAGGGGTATCAGCTCCAGCCCTCGGCAGCTCAGGAGATTGGAATGGAACATCTGGAAGGACCCCTATGCCTCCGCCATCACAAAACCCCCCCTGCATCATCTCGATGCCAAGAGCTTTCGCGCTAGTTCCATGATGAAAAGCGGTCCGCTCGGCGTCAGACATCGGGAGTGATCTTTGATGATAACCTCTTGCACGAGGATCAGTACGCTCCTCCTCCTTGCGCATCCGCTCCGCCCTCTCCCAACTGCATCTCCCCAAGAACTGATCATGATCCTCCAGTCTCCACATCTTCCACTGCACCTCCTCCGTAACCCTTGCCTTCAGGGTCTCGTACTCGTCTTGCTCCAGCATCCACCGTATCTCCTCTGCGAGAGGATGCGACTTATCCTGCACTTCCGTTAATACAAACCAGACTATTACATCCCCGAAAACGGTGTCGCGAAGACTACCGTGATACCCATCCCAGATCAGCTCGACATGCTCGTCGGTCATATACCAAGCTTCGTTGCCTATCCACTCGTCGATCATCACATCTTCGAGCCTGTCGGCATCAGCGTGCAAACCGAATACACGGCATGCGCGCATGGTCTCGATGCCAGCGGCCAGACTGGGTGGTACGCGCAGCTCACCTGTGGGCCGTACGCTAGCTGCTTTGCACGCGCGACGCATGTATCGCATTACTCTTGTGACTCCAGACTTCTCGGCATCTTCCGCGGGTATTTTTAACAGGTCAGGGCGCCCGCCCCGGTCTGCTATGAAGCGATCGAGCACGGAGGCGCCACAGAAATGCCATAGCATGCGAAGCGGAACGTTGCGGACGTATATTTTCTTGGTGTCGGCATTCACGATGTCGACTGTGAAGCCGGACTTCAATGCGATTAGCGTTCTGTTGTCTGTATGCTGCATCGTGTCGAAGAGTCTTCCGGTGTGACCTTCGAGCGGCGCTAGTCTCTTCCAGTTCTTTCTGAGCTTTCGTCGGATTACTGGAGTAGCTTCCTGTGCTTCTTTTGCAGTCACCTCAGCCATGTTCGCACTCAGAGAGGTATCGTGCTCATTCGGGTCTGAGAACGCTTGCTCGCTTTCGTTGTGTTCAGGACTATCATGTAGTCATGCCGCGTGAGTGCTCTCAGTAGCATCAGATCGATCTGTTGGCGGCTCTGATGTCGTTTCGGCGTCGTCACACTCCGCAGTGTTGTCGAGCGTGGGTTCTGTGCTGGGAGGAGCGTCGCTAGCCACGTGCATCTCTATTGCGCGATTACAAACGGTCGCGACTTCTCGTAACATCTGTCGGAGCGCTCTATCGAACACCGCAACAGGAATACGTTCTTCGGTGTGATCTTCATGCGCTATTTCGATGGGCGATGGAGCGATCGGTGGATTAGCTTCGATTTCTCGTCGATGATGTCTCGGGTCGGGCACGTCGTCTGCAGGTGAACGATCGATCGCCTCTTTGTCTCCGTCGCAAAGTTCCTCGCCACTGCCACCGCGCAATCTTATCTCGGGCTCCTTTTCGATATCCGGTTCTTCTTCTGGCTTATGCGCGACATCGCGCTCGCTATAATGACTTTCTGGTAGACGAGCATCGTTACACTCGGCATCCTTGGCAATACCCGGAGCAGCGCAGCTTGCACATCCGATATCACTTTTAACAGTCCTGTCTGAGAGCCCAAAGTAATCGGTCGCGTCTACTTCAACGGCCGCAACGGAACAAAGTGGTAAGAAGCCATGCGGTTCATATGGCGCAGGGTTAGGAGAAAGGATGGGATTATGCTTCTGCTTTGGCACTGAGAAGTAATCTTTGGCTGGTGTAGGCTTTCCGTTACCCCTGTTCTCGTGCATGTCCTCCGGTGTCGAGGTATGCATGGCGATGAACCCATGCGAAGTCTTCGGTGTGTAAGCTTGCCATGCCGAGGAATCGGATGTAGTCTCGCGTTGAAACACGGGGCGAGGTATCTCTAATCGAGGATTATCAAGGGGTGCTTTCTTGAGTGCATCTGGAGTTCTTGGTGAGTCCGACATGATTGCGTGGTAAGATGTAGGTGTAGCGGCTAAGACATCTAGCAGAAAGAGAATTGGAGACTTATTTATCGACCACTACCTGGGTATGAATGAGCGGGCAAATATAGTGGACATGTCACTGTCTGCCAGCAATTCAGTATTTGTATGTATGTTGACTCGGGAATAGGTGCTGTGACGCATCTGCCACGGCGATGGGATAGCTGGAATTGGCTGTACACACTCCCGGCGTGTCTCTAGCTATGAGACATTCACCACTCATCGTTCACATGCCATCTCCATCTTAGGTCGCCACTTTCTTCATGCGCGCCCTTCACTCCTAAAAGATGGACTTTTAACTTCCATCGGGTCCCATTCACCACATTTGCAACTGCACAACACAGCCCTACAACGCCATAGCGCGGCTTTCTTTAGCATTTTTCAAACGGATGAGCCCCGTTTCATCGGCATCCAGCCATCGCAACCATGGATGAAGCAGACCAGTCATCGCCAAAAGGGCACCCATTTGTGGACCCCGAAGTTCAGTCAAGAACGGGCGCGCGTTCCGCACAATCAGCATTCATGGATCGTACAAAACACTTGGCTGAGTTGAAGACGAACATGGAAGCTATCATTCCGGATTACGATGACGTGACCGCATCACCACTTGATGCCGTGGAGGCTAAAGACAGCGACGACACACCATCAAACGATATGAAAATTTTCGAGACTAGTGGAGCTGCGTGCGCAGATATGGATGAAGGTGTATGGCACGAACGCGCACCCCGGGCTGCACCACCGTCACTTAGCTCGAGTCCCCTCGTTGGCCTTGCCGACCCATCTGAGTTTCATCTAGACTCTGTGCCGATACGGGAAGCACCGAACATCTCTTCCTCGCCAATGCATGCGGAATCACTCCCGGTACCTCCGCGTCGTCTGTCTTCCCTCTTGAACAAGGCTATGACGTACTTTGGCAGCTGCATCGGCAGCTACTTCACGTCCGCGCCCGGCGTGGTCGAGTACTCCGGCGCGGATATCCTACGAAATACCCAAATCGGTATCGAGGCGGAGGAGCTCACATTCCCGAATAAAGCTGCAGTGATTAGGATCATAGCCATTGTCACAGATAGCTCTGGCGCATGCAGAGAGAAGGATGAGAAATACGAGGCAGTAGAGAGGCGTGTGGAGTTACGGGCAAAGCCTAAGCGAGTGAAGGAGATTTTGAGAGGGGAGAGATATTACATTGCCGAGGATTACTATAGGAAGGAAATTCGGCTCGCGTTTAGAGCTTTAGGAAAGTTGTGAGTGGCTCGTTGCGTGTGGGTGGCTCGCTTGGGAACCAAAGAATGAGAGACAGGAATTTCATAAGTATGGTCTTCTCTCGCTGTTCCACACTCAGATACCAAAGTTCCCTCCCATAACCACAAAGACTTCAACAAATTTCAAGCGAACACGTTCAGCACCTCCAAGAGCACACAAAGGCCGCGCACAGCACCGCGTACACTACTACAAACCCTACGTAGCTCCTAGGTGTATTCGAACACCTCACCACACACACCACGCAACCCCTCTGTACTCCTCAAACCCCAAGATGCAGTCAGAAACCAGCTCCTCAACAACCTCCGATAGCCAGCAAACCACCACAACACAAATCCTCGAAGAAGCAAACAGCTTCCGCATGCTCGTCGCATACAAAACAATGGCCACGAGACCACGAATCGAAAAATGGCTTTCGAACGTGTCCAACCAGACATGCCTCCCTCTAGGCGAATTCCCACACCGAAGACCGAATTCATCTTTCAACAGAATTCGGTCAATCCAGCAATTTGGGCCTGTTAATGGGAGGTACCTTCTTGAGTTTAAGGAGGAAGGGGGGTATTATGTTGAGACGGAATCGGTTGGGATGCCGAGGATGCAGTCACATCCAGATAGGTCGGCGGTTAGTGAGGTTTGGGAGGAGAGTCGGGGAGATGCCGGTGGCGATTGGTAGCGCGCTTGAGGTGGGAGGGCGACGTTCTGGGGTACAACATTATAGTAACACGTTAACCTAATAAAAAACTAAACACCCTAGAGCCTACATTAACATTAGGTTACCTACTTTAGAGGTTTTTGTCTTAATGTAGTCTGCAGACCTGTCTAGCTTTTTTTGTGTATAAGGTGGTAATAGTCGCGTAGGCTTAGGGATGCGCATAGACCATGTCCTTATCTCTTTCTCTTTTTCGTCTTCCGTTCGTCGCGGCGCGCAGTTTGCCAGAGTGCCGTTTGACGCCGTCAGAGGACCAACGGAGATGCTTCGTCGACACGTCTACTTCAATATACGCAATCGAAAGATGCTAATGAGCCACGGCTCTTCCTTCGACTTTCTGGGTGAGTTCTCATATTCCACGCATACACCGTTCATGCCATGATCCGAAGCGCCTTGACTACCCACGGCTACGTCGCGAACTATTATATCAACGATCTCGACAATTTCAATGTCGAAGAGCAGTATCGCTTGCTTGACGACTTGCCAGATGGTCGCTTTGTCGCGCCACAGGTTAAGCGACGGATGTTCTACAAAGGCGAAACCGCATCGCAAGCTCTGGAGCACGTGCGCCGGTTCATACCTTCGCCGTTCAGCCCCAATTCGCTGTCGCCAAGCTTGCACGATGCGCCGAGCTTGATCGACGAGGAGCGGTGGCACGAAGCTCGAGTGAAGCTGAGGCGTGAAGGTGTGTTGTACAGGACCGGAGGGAGGAAAGCTGAGAACCTGACGAAGATCTAGGGGTCATTCTGCCTTGCGATTATATGTTCGTTGATGAACGCAGGATGGTGGAGTCGTTTGATAGCAACGAGACGATCCGGCCAGCTGGTGTCGTCGCACGGCGTTGGGATCCGGCTGAGTCGATAGCGGAGGATTCGGCTCTATTGATAGCGGACCAGAATCGGATTACTGATCAGAGCGATGGTGTTATATTGTGGCATTTGCTCGTGGACTTTGGGAGGGCTGTGCGGAAGATCTTGGCTAAGTTGTTGACGTCCCAATGCGCGTGTTAAAAGGGTGTTGGTGATCCACAGAGCTTCTCTCTTGATCCATTGGATTGGTCGGAACTTTAGTGTCGTCAGGCCACCATTGTCTTGGCTAGTGCGAGGCTGTACACCTACTGTTTGCTCTATTGTATTGCGACGTGGGTCCCGGTGCAAGCGATGAGGTGGCGTATTACCCGCGAACGCATGTAGTGCTCTGCATGGGGCGGCACACCGACATGTCAGGCTCGACTGATACAAGCCCAGGCCCCAGCCTCATATAAAATCGCGGTCTCTTCTTCGGCAATGGATACACAGGTGTAGAGGCATTGTAGGTAATGGATGCTACGCGGCATCGTCGCTGCTTCCTGCGCTGAGCCAGGACCCCGCTTTCTCTTGGCATTCCGGGGCACTACACCACGCCATTATCCATGGCTTCCATCATAACTCCGACCAGCAAGAGTAACATAGCGACCTCCCGGCTTGATTCCACTTTACTCGTTGTCACAAATCGCCAGTCAGAAAACGATGCTTGGCCAAATACCCTTCGCGCCACAACGAGAGCGGCGCGCCGCCGTGGAAAGCTCGATGGACCTTTTCAACTTCGCTTTCTGACCGCGACAGACCCTACTCAATTCAAAGATGGTGAGACAAGACGAAGCGTCCGCTCGCAGGCGATGAGGTACCACAGGAATAAAACAAATCTCAGCAACGCAGCACCTCGGGAACAGCCCGAAACAGTACTATCTCTTTACAGGGAACCAATAGTCGCCGAGCAGGCCAAGCTTACGACGACACAAGCTCGACTGCTTCCCCCAGAAAGAAAATCAAGAGCGCTTCTTCCTCATGAATATGGGCAGCAAACTCATATTCATGTATCTACTACGAGGTCCCCAAAGGAAGCGAGCGGTGCTGAGGCTCAGGATGCTGCATTTGAACGCCGTCGGTCAACTCGCTCAGACCAAAGGCAGGGTGGAAGCCTTTCAAAGGTTGTTGAATACGAGTACACTGAGAGCCAAGAAGAACGCAAGATTCGTTTACTCGCGACCACTTTCTCTCGGATCGGAGACGGGTTTGACCCTTTAAGGTGCTGCCCCAATTCGAGAACCCTAGTTTGGACAGCGGTTTCATCTTGCGTACATGTAGGTGTACATTATCCTCCAGACTTTGCACGTCATATGCTCTGGTTGGAGAGCTAACATATACAGTCATGCGGGTGTTCGGAACAGAAGCATTTGTCAAGGCATGGGCACCCGAAATGATGGTTCACCCCCATGTATTGCTCAGTGGCATGTCTGTGACATGTACTTGGCTCGATATGCTCGCAAAAATTCCAGACGAAAGTACAAGGACTCGGCTTGTCAGGGATGAGACCCTGGTCATGCTTAGGCTTCGACATCAGTCTTTCAACCGGAAACACGCCGTGTCAACCCTCTTAGTGATGCTACATTTGATGGGAGGCGAGATATGGAGCTGTGATGAGCCCACGGTGCGGTGTCACGAACATGGCATCGAACAGATGATACACCTTTGCGGCGGCATTGACAAGATTGGCAGAGTGATAATCGTGCAAGGAATTGCTGCGTAAGCTTCACGACCTACTGATGAAGAGTGCATGCTAACGATGCTTTCAGATGTTGTTTCCACTGCGACCTAGTTTACGAAGCCAAACCCCTGCCGACCTTTGCGTCGTGGGAGCCTGCAAAGTACGATTCGGTCAACGATAACGCAGACTTCGCAATACCAGAATCCCCGTTGTTCTGCCCAGGGCCTGACTTCCGGAACCTTCTCAACGAAGAGCGTTGCTCATCTACCACATTTGGCCTACTTCGAGATATGCGCGACTTGACCGACCTACTCCTGGCACAAAGCATAGCACTTAAGCCCGCTAGCGATGCTACAGACGTTCATGTAGCCTGTCCGCCCTCCAATGACGTCTATCGTAAGACAAGAGTGGCTGGAATTTGCGATCGATTAGCAAAACTACCTTCGGCTTACACTCCAGATCATCCAAACTCCTGCGATTGGGTCTATGAGGCGTGTCGTCTCACTGCCACGATCTACACGATTTCCATCGTACGCCGCTTGCCTTTCTCTGTTGCTGCAATGTCAAGTCGCTACCCATTTTGTGTCCAAACTGGATCTTTGAACGAGCCACATAGCAGCCAGATCTTGCCTACAACCCATATCTGCGAAGAGTTGATGCAGACTCTAGAACGTACCAACCTCGCAAACGTGTGGAACGGTATGGCCGGAGTGTTGTATTGGATATGCACTGTTGGCGCTGCTGCAGCTCGTTCTCCCCGCTTGTCCGATCTGTCACAGCGACTTCCGTATAGCACGACGTGTAAGTTCCGGGTTCGGCAGTGTCTTACTATGTTTTCGTCCCGTGCGCAGTTCATCCTGGTCTTCAAACATCCCATACCCATCCTGGTATCCCAGAAGAAACTTCTCAGAGTACAAGAGCTTATTGGAACGTATCGCAAAGGTCGCTACACCAAGCAGTCACCTAGAACCTCTCTGGATTCCACAGGCCTTTAATGCGACGACATCTGCACCTACTGAGGATGGAATTTTAGCCGAGCGATACCTCCATTTCTGGTGATGCGCATTCAAAGCAAAGCGACCCAAGACAGAGTCAGAAGCCGGCTGCTGACAAAAGATGCTTGCGCTCCCGTAAATACCGGAAGCCGTATGAATCAGAGGAGAAGCGCACTTGTCCACGCCGCCAACCCCGGTTAGTTCTCTCACCGTTCAGTCAGTCACTACATATCCGGCTTTGAACGAACTGTCCAGGACGTTCGTGTTGCGTGATCCGCGGTTGGCCGAATACTCTGGTTTTCCTCCTCCGCGCGCATCACGAGAGGCCGAGCTGAAGTTCCCGGGCGCCTCGGGTCGCGACCATCCGCAAGATCCGGTCGCGATGTGTTCTGCAGTTCGAGAACAGACGATCGCAGTTGCGGACAAAAAATCTGTTCCTTGCACTGAATTTTATTGGTGGTGTTCTGAGATCTTCGCTGCCAACCGATGTGGGCCGGCGGAGCATTTCGCACCCTGGATCTGAGGGGTTGCAACTCTCCTGCTAAGCTTCGCGGCTCCCATCTTATCCCGACCTCTTATGACGTCGCAACTATGCCTGTCTCCTATTCCATCAGGCACGGTTGTTTACGTCGCATTGACACCTAGGAAACGGTAATTCGCTTTGGCGATTTCGGCGCTTCTCCAACCCAAACCTCGTGGGGATGCCATCATAGAGGGCCCGTGCGTCGAGCCTCTTTTCGTCCCTTCCTTGTCCGACG